ACCTGGAACTGAAGGTGCGGGATGATGGGAAAGTTTTGCTTTGCTGCCTGAAAACATCTGCTGCCGATCCCTAAACCCTAAACCCCTAAACCCTAAACCCTGAACCCCATAAACCCCTAGACCCCTAAACCCCTAAATCCCTAAACCCCTAAACCCTAAACCCCTAAACCACTAAACCCCTAAGCCCCTAAACCCAAACCCCTAAACCCTAAACCCTTAACCTTTAAGTGCCTAAACCCGTAAATCCCTAAACCCCTAAACCCCTAAACCCTAAACTCTAAATCCCTAAACCCCTAAATCCCTAAACCCTAAACCTCTAAATCCTAAACCCTAAACCCCTAAGTCCTAAACCCTAAACCCTAAACCCCTAAACCCTGAACCCCTAAACCCTAAACTCCTATACTAAGCCTGAGGGAGAAGCCGATGTTCAGCGGCAGCTCGGGCTTGCCATCCTGCCGGGTCTCTTCGGATCTCTTGGGCAGGCTTTCATAAGTTGAAGTAGGGTTTAGGGTTTAGGGTTTCAGAGTTTAGGGGTTTAGAGTTTCCGGGTTTAGGGTTTTAAGGGTTTTAAAGGCTTCGGGGTTTGGGGTTTCAGGGTTTAGGGGTTGAGGGTTTTAAGGGTTTCGGGTGTAGTGGTTTGGGCTTTCGAAGTCTCTTCGCGTCTCTTGGGAAATAGCAAAGTCCGCTACCTATCATTCACCCTAAACCCGAAACCCTAAACCCTAAACCCTAAACCCTAAACCGGAATCATTCAAGTTACCTTAATTAATGCAGGGGCCTGAATGTTGCGAATCGATAAGAGTTCCTGCAAAAGGGTTCTAGGAGGGTGTCTTCTTGAACTACGATTCAGACCTCCTTGAAAGACTTCTACAAGGGTGTCTATAAGGTTTACGATGTGAGGGTTTGAGACAAAGGTCTTAAGATTCCCAAACCCTTAAAACCCTAAACCCTAACCATTAGAATAAGGCTTTGGGGCCCGCTCTTCTAAAAAGATCTTGAGGAACCCGAAGGGGCAGTCTGGTATTTTGGGGGTGCAGGCTGTGGGGCCTAGGGTTTAGGCGTTAGGGTTTAAAAATTTAGAGCTTTAGGATTCTAGGCGTTTAGAAAGTGTGTTCAGAGCGTCTGTTGGGCAATAATCGGATTTTATGAGGCCTGTGTGCAGGTTGTATAGGGTCGTGTACGGTCTTATAAGGCTTGCATTCATAAAATAGCTACAACCCAGAGGGTCTGCATACACTTCGCCCCACTCTACGTCCTTTAAAGAAGGAGCGCGCTTTTGTCATATGGACCCTTCTGGGAAGAGGCATAAGCAACTCCAATTATCAAAGTCCGGATTTCGGCTGCAAGTTTGCTTGCGGGGATCGTTTGGTAGTGTGCCAGTTGCACGATTGAATGCTTCCCAAACCCTAACCCCCCAGGTACCTACTATATAGGGTACTGGAGCCCCTAGGAGGCACCTGGAGGGTTAGGGAAACTGCACTCACGAAGCCGACACCTCCAGAGAGAGAGACGGAGCCATGCACAATTGGCTTTCACCTTGGACTCCAGCCGCAAGAATACTAGCAGCTGTCGGTACACAGTTTGAATCCATGCCACACCTTGGGAGTCAAAAACGGACTCTGCGGAATCCTCGAGCCCTGAACTTCAGTTTGACATGACACAAACTCTTGCTTCTCTGGGCAGGGAAAGCCCGAACCCGCAAATTGTCAAGCACAGACGCACGGCACACCAAAACCCCTAAACCCCGCAACCCTAAACCTCAAAACCCCTTAACAGGAAACCTGGAGCTCTTCCCAAAGGGTCTAAGTACTTATATGGTAGATACTTTGGGGCCTAAAATATCTACTATATGGGTACTTAGACCCTTTGGGCTTATAAACCCCAGAAACCCTAAACAGCAAACCGTCCTTGCAGCGGCTGTCGTAGCCGACTGTGAGGTCCTCACAGCAATGCATCAGAGTTCGAGATACCCTCCAGGTCCAAGTAACTACGGTTGATGATATAAATCCTGCATGACCCATAATTCCCATAATAAGGAATATACCATAATTTCCATAGTTTAATTAGGGTCCTTAAGGTAATGCAGGATTTATATCATCAACATTTTCTTGCAGTAGACTCCAGGAAACTGGAACATGGCAGAAGCGGACAAGCATGACTGACAAATGCTCTGAGATTCCTTATACCTTAGCATCACAGCCCGAGGATGACCGTGTTCCGCCTTTCTGGCTACTAGTTGAAGCAGTGACACCCAAATAAGCGGCTCTTAGTGACTAAATATGGGGGCCTTAATACTTGGAATTGGGTTTCGGGGTATATCATCCGAAAATTGTAATAAGGAACCCCCCCAATAGTATAGGCAATGATTTAGGCCCCCTATATGAAGGCGATGAAACTCTGCAGTCTTCTTGAGCTTGTCGGGGCCACGGGTAATGGCTCTGTACGCTGTCTCGTGATATGAGCAGCGAGCTGCAACACCAGAAACGGCCTGTGCTTGCATGCGTATCATGCATCCTGCCGTCCCGCCAATCCTGATGTCACTCAAACCCTAAACCCTGAACCCTGAACCCTAACCCCTAAACTTTATAAGCCCTAAACCGAAGAAAGAACACAGTTCCTTCAGAATCAACTCAGCTCACTGTCTCCGAAGAGTGCCACATTTACGTATCTCCGTGCCATACAGCCACTGCCTTATGCTTCCAAAGGGCTCCTTCTTTGGGCTTCTAGAAGGAAACTTCCTGTACGAATATCTGCAAAGGCCCTAATAATGAGAGTAGGGGCTTGGGGTATATTATAATCTAAACATACAGGAACTATGCACCATGCATTCCGAACCATACATTCGGCACACGTGGGGGGACTTGTGATCTTCAATGTGTATACCTTTGGACTAACTAAATCCTCCACCAGGACGGTTGGAAATGTCGAAATCCCGGCACCCTAAACCCCGAAACCCTAAAAGCCCAAAACACCTAAACCCTTAACCTTAAAGGCACAAATACAAACCCACATAGGAGGATTCTCGCAGTCAAGGAGCCCCCATGAACCCCAAGCTCTCCAAACCCGGAAAATCCTGATGTAGAAACCCAGAGAACCCCCCAAAAAAAACATTTTTCCCGAAGCTTCCAACGAACTTCCCAAAGAGGGTCCGGTAGTTCAGGGGCCTTCATCTCATAATCTGGTGTTGTCTGCTTTTTTTGGTTATGCATTATGCTATTGCAATAACACACCTTTAGCAGAAACCCTAAGAAGTCACATTAGTAATTGTCAAGCCGTCTATACCAAAGAGGGGTACCCTGTCGTAACTTCAAAACCCGGAAACCCTAAACCCAAACCCTGACCCCTCTTTGTGTACTTAACGTTATGGTTGATAACTGTGATGTAGAAAATAGATACCCTAAATGGTCTAAATTGAAACACCGGTACGGTATGACCCCAAATGCAAGCCTTGAAACCCAAAATCGCTAGACCCTAAAACCCAGAACACTAAATGGCACGATTCTTACCGTAAGGACGCCTGAACACCGAACCTCCGCCCACAGAAACAGAGGCACAGGCCCGAACATCCGAGATGGCGAAGTCGGCAACCTCGAGAGAACAGTGTAGGGTTTAGGATTTGGGGTTTAGGGTTTAGGGTTTAGGGTTTTGGGGTTTGGAGTTTAGAGTTTAGGGTTTAGGGTTTGGGGGTTTAGGGTTTGGGTGTAGCGGTTTAGCGGCGTAGGGTTTCGGGGTTTAGGGACTTCGGGGTCTAGGGCTAGGGTGTCATACTGTAAGGGGGTTTAGCGAGGCCTGTCGTCTCATTTTGCCACATTTCTTGCGATTGCAGGATCTTATATCGAGGGGTTGTTCAGACTTGACAGGTTTTCATAGAGGGAATTTCATCGCATTAGAATATGGTTTGGGGGTATATCATTACATCATCGACAGCTATACTAGCTATTCGGACCTGCATAATACGCACGTCGTGCTGCTTCTTGGCGCAAGTCAGGTTCGATTTTCAGGTCTTTCGGCTTCTAAAAGTTTCGGTGTTGTTGCTTCAAGGTTTAGAGTTGCTGGGTGGTGGTGCTTGGTATTTTGGTAATGTTGAGTGTTCGACTGTGACCAGGAGAATCGGGTCATTCAGGGTTATGGGGGAGCAGGTTCAAGTCTGAAGGTTTCTTTGTGCCTAAACCCTAAACCCTAAACCCTAAACCACCCTAAACCCTAAACCCTAAACCCCGGCTTCGCACGGAACGACCTGGAGTTCACGCCGGCAGTTGACCAGTCATCGGAGCTGGCTGAAAGGAAACGTATCCGGCCAAAACAATTCGAGACATACCTTAAGGACGAAATGAACCCTAAACGGGCTTAAGGTTCATATACCATAGTAGGGATTCATAGTATAAGGGTGTAGGGTCTCTAATTCTAAGGGTCTTTTGGTCTTTCAGGTAGGATATAGGCGTAAGGATTTATTGACCTTGTGAGTCCAAAGTTGAAACCCTGAATGTATGTATCCCTCAAGTGCTTCTGAACAATTCGCCGGTTACCATTAACCTGATGCCCGTACCAACGTAAAGTAGTAATTAGACTCCACCAGACCTACTTCACCCTCAACCCTTGTCGTCAAATCAGAAGAACACAGCTACCCAAAAACCCACTACACGTTTTCAGCAGTGTTCCGAACACAAGATCCGTAATGCCCGTAATGCTATTTAACCTGTATTTCTTCAAGTTTCGGAATCTTTGGCAACCTCAAAACCGACTAATACTTTAGATGACCTATGTAAAGCCCTGTGAGCCCAGAAAACCGCATGTCACATGGTGTATTTGTGTGACATAGGACAGGAAGGCCCTAAACCCTAAACCCTAAACCCGAATGTTGAGCGAATCACTTTGTCTGACTGACTGACTGACTGACTCCCTCACTCCCTCACCCACTGAGCAGGAAACCTGAAAGAAAAAAAACGACAACAATATCAAACATGAAACCCCCAACAACATAAACCCCAAATACTAAAACGCTACAGCCCTCTCTTTGCTTGAGTCGCCTTCTGGAAGTACTTGCCCTCTGGGCGCTGGGCAGCGAAGATGCGCCTCCTGGATCTGGCGTTGTGGGGGATCCTTTCCGGGCTAGGGTTTAGGCTTTAGGGTTTAGGGTTTAGGGTTTAGGGACTTAAGGGTTTACCCAGAACATCTCCTCATATGTTTATTTCTGCGTGCTTGGATTTCTGTACGTGACCCCACAAGATAAGAAAAAACATATGGGATGTTAATTTCCGCGCGTGATGCTTGGAACAAGCACCAAACCCAAGGCTATGGTTTCAGAGTAGGTAAAGTAGTTCATCCTGAGAGACCCTCCGAATAATATAATACCATATAGTTCTGATTATTCTACTGCTAATTTATATCCGAAGCCCTACTTCCTGCTGATCGTGCACAAGCTCCCGGCGCTTCTTTTCAAGGATGCCCGGGGCTGAGCTTCATCCGAACTCTCGCTTCCATTGCTTAAGATAGAGCAGTAACGAAAGCCGAATGGTGCGGATAGCGCATGAGGTGTTTGAACAGCGGCGGGAAATTCTGGCCACCCTGCCAATAAAGTCCTCATCTTGCCAACAGTTCATACCTAAGTTGGTGGTCATGCACATGATTTCTCGATTTGTGTTTGTGCGTGTCAGACTTGATACAGGGGCCATGCTTCGATAAAAAAACAGGTAATGATTACAGCCTAAGCATCAGCGTGTGTTCCACACCAAGCGGTTGCCGCTCTGAACTTGTAACTCCAGATCGCGCCTCAAATGTGTGCACATGGCTGTTCCATAACAACTCGTGCTACTGACGACACCATAGGCAGGACCTATAGAAAACAATGCAGAATCAGGTAGCCAAGGAACACTAAGTGTAGCATCATATGAAGCTTCGGCTTTACTTTGAATAGGCACCACTTTCGTACGGAGCTGCAATGAAATGCCAGGGCGCCGGCTCCTTCCTAAGTTGAGAATGATGTGCAATGACCCGGTAGAGCTACAGGACTGCTGTTATATGCTCATGTTATATAAAAAGTATGTATGATTGTAGCTGAAGTGCACACATGGACCATCCGTGCGCCACAATCTTTGTGGCATCTGAACTTGGGATCCACATAGCATGGGCATACAACCCCCGAAAATAGGCGTTTGCATTCCAGAAAGTCCAACGGAGGAGCTCGTAAAGCTCTCTGTCGCCCGCAGCCTATAGCCGATCCAGTAATATAAGACAGTATAAACATATATAGTGTTATAGAATGGATTTGTATAGGGTATATTTTTATAAGACTTACAGGATCTAACCAAACGGCTCTAAACTCGCCTAGGACCTTGATCATTATAAAAACCTATTTAAACGATTTTCCCAAAGCTATAGGTTTATAGGGTTTATAGGGTTTAGGGTGGGTTTAGGGTTTATAGGTTGCAACTGTATAAAACTCAGAACAATATGTCCAATGCAGTAGATCGAGAGTCAACCCTTGCGGATCCTCCATCTGCACTAAGCAGGTCCTCCAGCCATTCACATAGTAAGACCGTATCCGAGCCTTTCCCAGCACCTTTGGGATAGTTCTGCAGCCTAAGCTCCGATAGAACTGATCATACACCCATATAATATACCTCTATCTAGCCAGCAACCAAACTGTGTAAAAAGAGTGGAGTAACCCATCTCTTATCCAGCCATCCAAGCTCTAATCCCCCAACCCCTATGTATAAGCCCTATATAGTTCATGAGCTGCCACCATGGCAATCCAACTCAGGCTCTGGACGTCTTCATCTTGAACTTCAGCAAAGAAAAGCAGTCGAGGCTCGTGGATTTGCCGTTTCTTTTACACCAGGCCACAAAGTAGTCGTACAATGCATTTAGCCTGTCCTGTGTAGACCGCCCTTGACAAATCTTGAGTCGCGAAAGCAAGATGATAGCAGACGTAGCCATTCCGGAACCAAATCCCTGGATAGCGAATGTGTGAGCCGGGTCAGTACGGAGTCGCCACGGGTCGTCGGCACCCGGTATTGTCCGTAGCGGGCTTATGTGTTCTTTCCAGGGCTCGTCAGCTGGATCATCCCTTGTCCAAGTACGAATACCAGATGTAGAAGAGCAGTTGTACCAGTCCTGGCATACCCTCTCGTATAATAGTGCACCGAACAGTTCTGATCAGCCTAGTGACATTATAAGTTTTTTTGGGGACACCGAACCTCCTGCTCACACATGTGACAAACTCTGCTGCTCGAGAAACCGGTTTCAAGACAGAATGACTTGCGGAGCCATACCCAGTCTCCTTTGCACCCGAGCCATGCCATATGGAAGTGGTACTTCTGACCCTCATGTTCAACCTTAGGCAAAGCAAGGCTAGATTAATATTACATTTACCACCCAGAGCAACCTACTAAAACCAATAGGTCAACCCTCCAAGTCCAACATATAAATTTTTAGGAGGCACATCAAGACCATCCCAGAAAAGAGAACTACAATCATCTGCCAAGTTCTGCAGCAGTTCGAAGATGGTTGTGTCACCATGGTAGCAGCGAGCAGGTATCACCGTATAAAGTAGGCGCGAACAAAAGCTGTGCCTGATCTGCATGATAGTTGATGACCTAAATCAAAACATGCACAGTTTAGACTACTAACCACAAACAGAGTCTATACCGTTATGGACGAAAGACCCACTTTCGTTCAACTTGTGCTTCCCAAAGTGAGAAAACAACCCTTGGTACGAAAGAACCATGACAGGCATCTTCGACCGCCCTCTTCCTTCGTCACCGTGCAGGAAGTACGGCAACGTGCACTTGCGATCCAGGGATTGTGTAAACGTCGGGTGCTTCGGGTCTACTTGCTCATAGAAGTCCCAAAATTCTTCGAGGTCTTGTTGCCACTGATGAACTTGGGATATATGATGTCCTTGTAATAGCCTGGATGGTTTCTTTCTAGAAAACCTACGGGTATATTTAGCTAGTATCTTCATGAGACCACACAGAAGTTAATTAAAACAGTGTTTGGGCATTTATATAGGGCTTCTAGGGTTTTAATTAGTTGAGCGGATGCGGGGCTTATAAGATTAGGGTGACTTGGGGTCTCTTTCGGATTGCACTGGATCGTCTCATCTGAATTAATCAAGGATAGCCAAGCAACATCTGTCCGCCTTGTTCGAAAATGTAGCGTGCCCAACTTGACAGTTTCATCACGGGCCAGGGTACCCTATTTTGCTTCCTTGTTCGAGCATGACGGATCATGATGTCTGCATTCGAGATCTTGACCGGGAGTGTAAAGTTGGGCTTGGCAAGCAGGCGGTGGAGGTTCCGGCAAGTGTTGGCATCAGAAGACCGTGCACATTTGGCCAACTTTTGCAAAGTCGGATCACGTAGCCCTGCAAACCCAAGCCATTAGGCGATATGATATTGACTTACTGGAACTATTGAAGATATCGTATTGTACTAGGAAAAACAACAACCTTTGCCAGCCTCGCCGCTCCAATTTGCGATGAGCTTTGTAAGCTAAACGACAAGTGCGGGCAGCGGAGTCAGCCTCACTTGCAATGGCCCGGTTGGGTAGCATCAATAGGAGTCTTACAGAACCGAACTAAACCGTGTATATATTACACTTTCGGCAAACCCCATCCATCCTTTAGGCTCTGAAGTTCTCGACGACAACCAATTATAAACCTAAAGGGAGTTCTTATGGGTTTAGGGGGCCGCTGTCCTGAAGAATCCAGTTCATATGCTATATGGGACTATATACTATACAGGACTGCAGGTTTTGAACGGTGCGGATCTGTGTTGTCATAGCGGGGCCTTGGGACTTTAGGGCTCTAGGGTTCTGGGGTGATCGGGTTTGGCGTCAGCACTGGTGATGCTAACCTATATACGATCGAAAGCTACACAAGTTGCTTCAGGACATACAAATATAAAGATATAGATGTACATATATATATATATAAAGATATAGATATACATATATATATATATATAGATATATAGATATACATATATATATATATATATATGTATAGAGAGACTTGTAATCAACATATAAAAGCAATATGTGGTCTTGTTCAGCCAAAAGTCACGATGCCTTGTATACGACGGTTAGCCTACACTCACACACTCCTGGGTTAACTTAACAGAACTGCAAGTGACCCCGGAAGATAGCCCCGTGAGGAGCTCATCAAGAAAGCCGTCATCCTGATTGTCATCCGCATCCTCAGGACCTGGGCAGTCTGGGCTTGTTGGGAAAGTACGATTGAGCAGATCGAAGCTTCGGTCTTTGAGGGTCCCACTTATATCAAAACACTCCACATCCAGACCTGCGAAAGGGTAAGTCGAGCATGTGCAATATACTACGAAGCCTTGCGACGAAAAACACCACAGGCAGTAGCACACAGATTGGATAGTTCACAACCTTTTTTATGCTGCAGCCACCCCTCACTTCACGCCATGCGGTTAAGACTGCATGCGCCGGAGCTTGCAAGACACTAATCTACATCTGGAAGACACAGCTGCTGCTGAGAGCACGATCAAAGCTCCACTTCATGGAGACTCAAGCATATCAGCTCTTTCTCTTGCGCTTGTTGGCAGGAGCCTTTGGCGCAGCTTTGGGGCCCGCTTTGGCTTTGCCTTTCGCTTTGGCCTTAGTCTTGGCTTTCCCCTTCGCCGGGGTGGCAGCTGTAGACTTGCCGCTGCCAACGGTCCTGAGTTTTCCAGGAGTTGGGGATAATGTAAACTAGGTTATTCATAAGTTGGTTTAGGGTTATAAAAAAATATATATATATATATATAGATAATCTATCGTGATTTAAAAGTATATGATTATATAAATTATATGTATATATAGCAGGGGCACATGAATTATGATAGGCTTTCTATATAACGGTTTTCTATAGACGGTTGTCTGCCAGGGAAAGGGAGCTTGGATGCAGCAGTTTAGAATCCTCTCTAGATACATGTATATAGATTTCAGCTAAAGTTCCTTGATCGCACCACGTAGTTGTTGAGAGCCAGGTCTGCTTTGGTGCAACTGATGTACAGCTGCAGGGATTCTTTCTTCAACCTAGGACGACATGACTCTTAAGGGATCAACAT